GAAGAGAAGGGGTTGGTGTTCTGAAGAGGCGGCTCAGCTTAATGAAGGGGGGGGTCACTTCTTAGTAAAAAGAAACAGAAGTGGCTACCCGGTATTGGAAGTGAAATGCATATTGTTAGGAATTTTAATTAACCCAAGGCACACTGCCGCAATCCCCTGTCCCCCATCTTGTCCACAATGACACTTTTAGCCTTCATGTCAAATGTTCTAACATTTGTCTCTAAATTCAACAGATTCCTAGCACTCTCCACCCCTCTGCATTCTTGGCACGCCTCCATTATTTTTCTTGGATCCACCAGGACCGATCAAATGTGCCTCTGTTTACGTCTGACGACAAATGAAGCCTCAACTCCTCTCCTGCCCTCGAGTTTCCATGGGCTCCGCACAGGCCCCTGTGTAACCACATCCCAATGCCTATGGTCTCCTGGTCTCCCATCGTGCCCTCTGGAGCACATGGCCCATCGTCAGCAAAATCTCCTGCAGACGTAACTTCTCCACTGAGCATTCCCTTCTCCTCATCTTTTAACTGAACACCCAGCTCCCACCCTCCCGGAGGAACCCGCTGCTCTCATGGCCCCTCAAGCTGTCCCTGTCTCCATTTTCACCCCACTGTAGTGGATCCTCAACATGGCAGTTGGAGGAGGGGGGGCTTTCAAACCCAGGTCAGCTCTATCACTCTGCTGCTCAGAGCCCTCCAGTGACACCCAGTTTTGCTCTGGGTGGAAAGCAACACCCTCCCAATGGCCTGCGAGGTCTCTGCAGCCTGCCAGACCTCCCAAGCTTCCTAGATTCAGCTTACACTTGCTTCTCTGCTCACTCAGCTCCAGCCACAGAGGCCTCCCTGTCTCCTTGAGAAAACCAGCCATGCTGCTGCCTAGCGACACCCCCAGGCCCTTCCCGCCACATTTTAGTGCTGGACTCTGAGTATCCCACGGCCAGCGCCCTCACTTGCTTTGCAGTTTTTGCTCAAGAATTGCCTTTCTCATGAGATCCATCCTGACCACGCTATATAAAACTTTAAATCTCACCTTTCACTGTCAGCATTCCCAATTTTGCTTACCTGTTTCACAATTTTTTTCCTGATACTACTTTTCTCACCTTCTAACATATGATATCATTTTTAAATTATATTTGTAGTTTATTGCTTTTATCCCCCAGTAGAATGTATGCTCCCCAAGGGCAGGGATTTTTATTTTGTTCTTTGATACATCCCAAGTGCTTATGGCTGTGCCCGTTATATGAGAAGCAATCAGAATGTATTTGCTGAATAAACAGAATGAATGTACTTACAAGGCGAATTCAAACAAACACGTTGCTTGGCCTAAGATAATCTGGTATGAGTGAGCTCATGCTGTTGCTCACAGATCCCGGCTTCTCTTTCTAGCTATTTAC